AGCTCAGCCTTCTTCCTAATCCTACAGCTATTCCTGATTCTCCTGTTAACTTGAGGTAAACAACCACTTTCACACTTACAGACGTATATTTGTAGCCCCTGATGATACCTGTCCTAATTAATGCAAATTTGTCTACATAAAACAGGCCTAGCAACAGCCCCAGTGAGTTTCAATCCTAACAATTGAAAATTCTAATCCTAATCATAGCAGCGATTCCCTTGTAAATCATAAGAAGACTTGGAAGTCATCTGAAAACTAAATAGATCCCAACTCTTTCCCAGTATGTGCATGCATTTCTCAGAACAGTCCCATATAGCTAACCATTTTTAACCTCAGTGAGTCTCAAACTTGAGCCTACCTATAACTCAAACTTTAAATAGGAGATCTAGCATTCACCAGCTTTATGGACTTCACATGCCACTAACAGTCAAAGAACTCACTGTAGCTGAAATCTAATATTCTAATATTCTTGTCTCTTCAATCCATTATCTAAAAGCTGGCCAGTATCTATTTTGCTTCTCTGATAAAAACTGATCCACAGTAAGGGTCCTAAAATCAGAACTGATACTTTGGCTGACAATACACAAAGATCTTCTGCTAGTTAATTAATTAGTTAATTAATTCTGCAAATTCTGACAGTAATTATAGTTTTTTTTTTTGTGTCAATAAGTAAGTCAGCATCCCTCAAAAAAGATTCAGGGCCTTTCAGTTATGTTGCTTCTCTATCACTGTAATTTCACTGAAAAGAGCAGAATTACCCTTGATTTAAACTAACGTAAGTGAAAGAAGGATCACCCAGCAACAGCAAATGCAGGCAGTTCTTAGGGCAATCTTTTTGCTGTCACTTTTCTGCTTGTAAGTGTATTTCAAAATTATCAATTTAAAAAGAGAATCGTAGGATACTAGCATGTGGGTGTGTAATATATCAGCAACATTCAACAAACATTAGAAATCTATACAGCGTTCAGCAGAATCCTACATAAGATACACAGCTAGCTTCAGCCAAGGGAAACAGATCAATACGGTAGAACTGCAGAAATTTGAACTCCAGGATATCAATTTAATGCTGCTGGCCTGGAAATAAGCTACCCTGACATTCACTGCTTCTCATATAAACCTTTTCCTCCTTGCATGACATCACGCTATCAGCACTATTTACTGCCATGATGGACAGTTGTTGGTATCCTTGCACTTGGAGTGCACTAAACATGCTGCAGCACCTCAAGTTACTGTGATCCAAGTTCCAATTTTGAACTTCTGGTAGAAGTCAATAACTAAAGGCACAGATGTTGTGAGCTGCTGGCAATTCCTGAAGCCACTGAATCAGCCTGAAAAGCTGAAACTGAAAGAAAGGGATAAAAGCTCTGTAGTTAGTTAGTTTCTATGGGTGACTATGGGCTTATTTGTCATTCCCAAAGCCCAGCTGCATTTTAGGCTGATTCACTTATCTGAGAAAGATAAATCTATTTATTTTCACTTTGTTTTCTCTTTGGTGTTACATGCTATGTCATACTCCAGGACTCCTTTGGTTTGGGGATATTAAAATATTTCTGGGTGGGTTTCCCAATGAGAAAGAATGTACATGATTCTTTTCCAACTCCTGTCCCATGCAACAAGCTAAATGCCACAGGTGAATGCTGTTTATCTTGCTCCACAGCTTCTGCTCTGAATGGTTTTTCTTGTATTCCCACAGGTGAAGTATCCTTTTCTTCATAAATTTTATACATTTACTGGTGTTGTTGCTGTCTACTCACCCAAATGCTAGGAATTTAAAGTATAAAAGAGCAATTCTGCAGGAATGTAGATAATTGTAACAGTATTTAGAACAACTGAGAATGAAAGTCCCCACTTTTTGAATAACTAGCCCTTATCTCTTGGGCCCTCTGTTCCTTTTCTAATTCTAATAACCTCACATTTTCTCTTGTTATGGCAAAACTGATAGCTCTTCAAACAGTTGTCTTACCATTGCTACTTAAAGTAACAAACTAGTGGAAACTATAACATTGTCTGTCACCTTCCTTATATGAATATTTTTCATTGCAGTGTGACTACTGATTTCATCATCCAAACACTCCTTTCTAACTTGGCCCTAATGCAAGGCCTTCATGTTCTCCAACACATGTTCTATAATGGGACTGCAGATTTCAGCACTGAAATGAAGCTACTCTTGAGTCCAAGCACAAGCAGTTTGTCTTTTGACTTCTGAGCTCTCACTGTCAGTACTTGACTCCATGACAAGTGTTCCTGTTCTTTTTTGTGTGTGTACTACTTCTCTATCTTTCCTTTTCTAATAGACAGACATTATTAGGGAGACTTATTAAACCTTTTCTTATTTTGGATGTGCTGAATTAAATGAGACAGAAGAAATAAAAAAAAATCAAAATTTTCTTTTCTTTTCTTTTCTTTTCTTTTCTTTTCTTTTCTTTTCTTTTCTTTTCTTTTCTTTTCTTTTCTTTTCTTTTCTTTTCTTTTCTTTTCTTTTCTTTTCTTTTCTTTTCCTTTCTCTTTTCTTCTTTCTCTTTTTCTCTCTCTCTTTTTCCTTTTTTTTTTTTTTTTTTTTTTTTGGTTCAGCAATGAGACTTTCAAGGCTCATATTGAATTTTTTACCCTGCAGAACACAGCAAATTAAATTAGATGTTGCCTGGATATTAAGATAGTCAGTGAGATATCCTGTGGAGAGGATTTGAAAGCTTGTAATATAGCAGAGCTACAGTGTAGCTGAGAGTAGGAACCAAAGGAGGCAGCTGAGTCATGAGATGCACAGCAAGCCACCTTCCTAATTCCTTCCCACAGACAAACTGAATCAGCATTTACCTGAAAAGCATATTTCTCAGACTTTGTCTTTTGGGAGGAAGGTTTGAAATCTGCAGTTAGACCCCATAATTCTATCTGCATTTTCTTCTTTAATGCAGATTAATTTATAGACCTGGCATGCAAACTTGACACCCAAAGTGATACACTTGGAAATGGCACACTTAAGGGATCACAGACATACAAGGATGTACAAATGGGGTTTAAAACTTGGAGACATTTACAAACCTCAAGGATATTTTGCAATATCTCATGAAATTGGATAACTGAAAAAATTAGACCGTACTTTGAATAATCAACAACCAATGTAAAAAATGATTACACAGTTTATTCTATTTAAAAATAATACCATGGTGAATCCTGCTAGGAAAATATCAGGAAAAAATAGGGGAAATCTCACAACTCTAGCATTAGCTGCATTTTTCCTAAACAATTAATAGAGTCAGTTCTACTAAAGAAACTCAAGCTAGGTAGTTTCTCTGTGTTGTACAACAAAATTAATACACAAAGTATCTGCAAGAAGCATAGGGATGAAAGAGTTGCTGTAAAATCAATGATGTTACTGAGGCTACAAGAAAAGTAAATTCGGCACAGCCATATAGTAACAGGAATCAACATATTTTGTGTAAGAGACCAGGAATGCTAACAAAATATGGGGACAGTGAGATGTTCAGTAGAAAACAAAATCCAAACGGTAGCCATGATTTGGAAATAACTTCATTTAAAAAAAATAATTTGATTATCTTATTTCTGTGTTATTGGTCTCAGTTTTTCTGATATTCCTATATCATGGTGTAGAGGTTTCCATTTTCTAATGGATAGCAGTTAACATTCAGATCAGATATTAGGAAGTATTTCCCAGTTGGGTAGTCAGTGACATACTGTAGGCAACAAAGTGAAATGCTCTTGAATCTCTTTGATTAGAGCATTTGATTAGAGCATTAGGGTTCTGTCTTACTGCTTGGAGATGTACTAAATGACCTCTGAAGTCCTTCCCAGCCCTGCATTTCAGTGATTCTAACTCAGAATAGTGATCCATTCTAAATTTAATCAGTGTAGAGAAAAGTTCAAGTCAGTTGCCTAATGACAACTTCAGCTCACACAAGGACTTTAACCTTCCAACACTGTGCCTCATTTATTACATGGTACATTTACTGATACTAGAGGAGGCTGAACATACTATTATTGGCAAGAGAACTGATATAACCAGCAGGTCTCTGAGGCAGTTCCACCCTAGCTATTTGTGATTCAACGATGAGCCATGAATTTGTGCTCATATCACAGCCATGCCAGAACTGATAATTTCCTAGGAAAACCCATATCTTTAGATAGTAACCTACAAAATTATTTGCAGGTGGGGGCACTTCCCCCCACTTCTAGTCCGCTCTCATTCTAATACCTGATTTCCCATGCTCTAACTCACACCACTCATCCCCTCATCCCAGTGAAGTCCCTCAGCTCCATGCAAGTCCACGTAAACCACTGAGAGCACGGGTGATCTCAAGCACATGCCTGACAGAATCAAAGAATCACAGAATCATAGAATGGCTTGGGTTGGAAGGGACGCCAAGGACGCTCAAGCTCCAACCCCCTGCTGCAGGCAGGGCCACCAACCACCATATCTAACATTAGACCAGGCTGCCCAGGGCTCCGTCCAACCTGGCCTTGAACAGCACCAGGCACAGCGGGGGAACTAATACTGATGTTTTGAGCAGGTGTTTGTGTTTGGACTCTTTGTTAGTGGTTTTTGGGTTAAAAATTGCACACCTTGACAACTTGGCACCAGGGATCTATTAATGACTTTCAAAGGGTACGAACCCCAGTCAACCGAATGTGCCCGTTTTGCTGCCTTCATTTGGTTAAGCCCTTTGAGGAATGACGTACCAGCCTGCGATGGCTGCAGGTCTCTGAAGGAAGGCGTCGATGAGGGAATTTCAGATTATTTCCACGGGTAACACTGCGCCTGTCGGGCTGGTTTTGGGCGTACAGCGTCTGACCACGGGTCAGTGGGTAAGGGGAAGAGAAACAGCTGGGCATGAGAAGAAACAATTGGCCACGAAGACTGAAGTTCTGGAACTTTTAATTTAATTTCTAGCGATTCTTCGAACCAACGACGACCGGACCGCCGTCACGGACCGACCCCCCCGCTGCCGCCAGCGCCGCGCAGAGGTCGGAGGCCGCGGCGGGAAGGCGGGGAGCCGGCCCGAGTCACGTGACGGTGCCAACATGGCGGCGCCGTGGCGGCGGCGCTGTGGCGGCCGCTGAAGGAGGCGCGGTTCTTCCGGGTGATGGGCTTTGAGCGCTCCCGGCCCCGCCATGCAGCCGCCGGCCCGCGAGCAGGACGCCCGCACCAAGAGCATGTTCGTGTCGCGGGCCCTGGAGAAGATCTTGGCCGAGAAGGAGGCGAAGCGGCCCCCGCACGGGCAGCTGCGGAGAGCCTGCCAGGTGGCGCTGGGTGAGTCCGGCCGGGCCGACCCGCCGGGCTGGGAGCCGCCGGCCTGCGCGGCGCTGTGTGCCGGACCTGGAGCGGGGCAGCGCCGGGCTGGGGGCGGTGTCACGACGGCGGTGCACCGGCGGGGGTCCGTGGGCCGAGAGCCGGGAGGCCCGGGGAGGGAGGGAGGATGGGGGAAGCGGAGGGACAGCCCTGGCTGCTGTCTGCCCTGCTCGCTTCTGGCCTCGGGATGGAACAGGAGGGCTTGGGTGTGCCGCTCTAGGGTTGCTTTCGAGAAAATTAATGACAAGCTTTTCAAGTAGGAAACGAGCTGTGAGGGGACCCTCGCGTCCAGACCCCCCTGATCTCGTGGGCTCTGATACTTTTCCTCCAGCTCGTGGCTGGGCTGGCAGAAACTCTGTGATGCAGCCCCAGGCAGGCTGTGGCGTCCTGCAGAACTGAAACACGTCTTCTGAACTTGGCAGCCTGGTTCTAAAATCTGCAGCTACAAATCCATCCTTTTGTAATGTAGGTGTATCTGCTAAAGTTCTGAAAGCATATGGTGTGTGTGTTGTGGAGGGAAAAGAGTAGGTGAAGCAGCGTGGCTCTCACAGGTGCAGTCCTTGGTGGCCTTTCTTATCTTACAGAGGTGACATCTCTTATGGTATGGATCGCTTTTTCCTTTAATTTGAGTGTGTTTTTGCAGAAAACCGAAAGATGAGCTGAGTGTGTGAGTAAGCAGATGCAAGTCTTGTCAAATGTACTGTAGAAGCAAGCTTGAAATACTGTCATTCTAATTTTCCTACTTGCAGTTCTTACCTTGAAGAAATCTGTAGCTGCTGACTGCAATGATGGTATATCCAGAGAAAGGTAGAAATGTGAGGCTGCTTATTATTATTTGAAACAAACGCTGTGAGCAATTGAAATGACTTTCCCTACTTACTTTTCCTTTCTGACTTCTTCAGTATCCCCCCAAACCTTTTACTTGTCTGGGAGCCTGTTTTTCTGTGATGTAAATCCACTTAGAGAGTAAGAAAGGAAACTTTCCTTAAAGATTGCTAGTGAAAGTCTTTGTTTACTAGCACTTCTGAGATTGTGATTTTGGGAGGATGCAGTAGTCACCTATTAGCACTGGCCTTTTGGATTATAACTGTTTGACCTTTGTGTCTTAAGTACAGTACATTTGAGGTCTGTTAATTCTGTGAAGATAGAGGTACATTTTTCTAATCCTGCTGGAAGGAAAAAAAAAAGTCCATGTACTTCATTGGAATAACACAGGGGTTAGCAAGAGTAGATAACCTTCTCTTGGCCAACTCTCCTGCCCTAGCAGTGCTTTGATTACTGTGCTAAAGGATTTCTATAATGTTTCATAAATGTTGCCTCATCTTAAGTTGACAACATGGATATAGTTCTTTTTATTTGTGTTAAATTCTTCAAACTTGATTTTATATGGAGTAAGCTCCTTTTTACTCAAATCAGATTTACTTAAGTTTATGTAAGTTTAATTAAACTTATAAAATAAAACTGTGAGCTTAATTTCAAAAGTGTTAGCTTAGTTATCAAGCCCTGTGCTGTCGTAAATGTGGTCAGGAGTGTAGGTAGAATGTTTCTTACAGAAATCAGACCAGAATTTACACAGACTGTTATTCAAGAAAGAAGCTTCAATACTTCCAGTAAAAATAAAATCCAGTTAGTCTCTGATAATTAAATCAGAGTACAAATAACTTTGTTTCCCTCAGATTGGATTCACTTTAGGGACCTGGTCACTGTGTCAGCTTTTGTTCTTTCCCCCCTACTCCATGTCATATTTAAAGTAATCCCTTTGTAGCTCTCAGTAAATTTACTGTGCTGTCCTACATGTACAATATTCTCTTGAATGGAGCATTGTTGTAATACCTTTTATAAACTGTAAAACATGGACGTGATTAATAAGTAAATTCTTATTCTAAATAGGGAGGAACTGGTGCATTCTGGAGATACCTAATTAAATTAACCTGCAACTATCTACAGTTTCTGCTGTAATATTACTGGAGTAGTGTTTATGTTAATTACACATGCCTTAAATTTCTGTTTGGTGAGACAGAGAACTACATTTCCAGCTGTGGGAATGCTGGTCCTACATCGTAAATGTGCTTCACTGCTGAGAAATTAACACTGACAGTTGCTGTCATTCTTATATAAGGAAATCTAGGTGGTAATTAACTTTAAACTATTGTTGCACTTTTCTTCTGTTTTCAATAATTCTTTTTTTTCTTACTGAACCAGTAGTTTACAGTTTTGGACCGCAAAATATCTTTGTGACTGTATGGAAATGAGAAGTAACATGGGCTCAAATAGGTTATAAATATGAGCAGGGTGAAAGGAGTGCTTATTTACTCCTATACTGTACAGGGTTTGTTAGCTTGCACTGTTGGCCTAAAGCAGTGATAGATGTGTCCTTGAAAGTGGAATTGGTAACAAAACCAGTTCTCAGTTGTTTTTTTCTTAAATTTTTCTTTTTTTGCTCTCTCCACCCCCCTTGTGAAGCATACAGAGTAAATGTTGAGTAAGCAGAGTTTGAATGGATTCCTTCATGCAGCCTCTTGCCTCGTCAGTAAGTGTAATAGTTGTATCCTGTGTCCTTAGTGCCAGTAAATCCTGGGAGAGGTGGAGAGAAATGAACTTCTAAACAGAGGAACTGTTCTGCTCTGCTCTAGAATGTGGTAATTTTTTTTTTCCCAACTGGTTTTCAACAGCCAGGACATAAATAGTTGCCTAATAAGCACTTCTGTGGAGCTATGGGTGTACGTGATTCTTGGTAAGCACAGTGAAACACTCTGTATCCTGACAGGTTTACAGTGGAACGCGGCGCATATCATCAGTTCTGGTGGGTGAAATGCTAATTGTGTCCCTGGGTCTCTCAAACTATTTGTATTACCCCATTAGGACCGTTTTTAACGACATGCTATGCAGCCAGCCTGGTTCTGTGACCTTTGATTGCCCAGGCACTGCTGTGTATGTGTCTTGGAGCTTTGTACGCAACAGGATGTATTTAGTTTGTTAATAAGCTTTAAAGAAAAAAAAATCTCTTAATCCATGCCTTCACTTAGGAATCTTTGTGCATTTAAGTCATGTCTTGGTATAAACGATGGATGTCTAGAGAAAGTTTGTTGGTTTAGTAAAACTTCTTGGCTGTCTCTGAACCTCCAACTCAGAGTGCTGGGCTGAAGCAAGAAGATCTTGTTTCATTGTGCAGCCTCCTCTAAAGGATTTTCTGTAGTTGGCCAGAATCAGTTTGTTGAGTTGTTGCTGTAGCTGTTTTAAATCTAAGGCAACCTGGAATTTAGGCAATGAAGTGGACTTCACACAAAATGGAATGAAACAAAAGGCAGTTTGGACTGTTCCATGTTTGTGTTGGCATTGCTCTCTGGTGTTCTGAGCTGCCATGGAAGGACATTGCTCTTGTCCTTGTGGGGAGAAGTGACTCCATTTGTTGCACAGGACTTGGTTTGCTTCCACTGTGATGAACATGACTGTTAAGGTAGGATACAACTAGCTGCAGACAGGAAACTATGTCCTTTGTTTTAATACATACTGTTCAATATAAGCAAACTTAAACCATCCATCTGTTACTGGAGTTCCTGTCTGCCTGTGCCTGGTGCTGCTTTCATTGTGGTAAGAAGCTCTGGAAGAGAAGGCTGCAGGGCCTTGCTTGTTTCTCCTGTTGTGCTGGCTGTAGGAATGTTGGAAGGCTGTGCTGAGTGGGCAGCACCTGTAGGGTGTGGAGTCAGAGGTGTTTCTGATTGAGTGGATGGATGCATGCCGGTGCCTTCTGAATTGAAAGCAGCAGGCAGCTCTGAGAGCAGAACCACCAGGTGAGGGTCAGCCTTGTCCTGTGATGGCCACAAGCAGGCCTGCATTGGAGCTGTGGAAGTGGCTTGGCTGTGCCCTTACTCCTGCATGGGACAGAAGTGTGCAGCACTTGCTGGAAGCTGGCTGTGCCTGGTCTGCCTTGGTGGCTCTCGGCGTAACAGAATTCAGTTAGGCTACAGTTGGTGTTTCATTCACTTTTGGTGGTCAGGCCACCAAATGAGCACTGGAAACGTGGACGTTTCCCAACGATCTTGATGCAATCAGCAGCAGGAGCATGCCTGTAACTTGTTTTCCTTGTCTGACTTATTCTTTTTTGCCAACATTTTTTATTGAAATATTGTTGTGATGCAGACGTTTTTATGCTGCCTTGGAAAATCCTTTATATAAAAAAAATTGTGGGTTTTTTTTTTCAATTTGCTTGCTAAATTTGTTTCTTAAATATACGGAGGATTTTGGAAAATGAAATTATCACTGCTTTAATATGGAACACAACTCTTTTTTTCTTAAGGAAAGATTTAATATAAATGTCAGTGAAGGTATTACAATATAAAAAATATGAGGATGGGTCTAGGTCATGTTTTTTTATGGCTAAAATCTTCATGAAATTCACATTTAAAACTGAGCTATGCCGCTTTTCTGGTGATCAGTATGTAATGAAGGTGACTTGTTTGAAAGGAAGAAAAATCCTTCTGTTGTTTGTTCTTCCTTGCCACAGAATCTCAATACACATAGCTTGGTTACTCCCTGAACGTGGAATTGAGCACTTATTCTCAGCTACAGTGAAACCTGTTTTCTTGTGGAGCATTAAATTTTATGATGTTTTTGAGTATTAAGTGATGTTTTCTTGGGTGGGACTCATTGCTTAATATTTCTACTGTAACTTGTTTTTTATTATTATATTATTATTTTTACAAATAAGGTGAAGTTGAGACATTTTTACTTTGGGAGGAAAAACGAAATCATCTCAACCCCACCCCAAGCATTTCTCCCAACAAGCCTTCCTTCCTTGCTGACCTCCCACCAGACTGCGTGACAGTGAAGACAGAGCCTGTGACCTTCAGCTTTGTTTCTGCCCTCAGCTGAGTGCCTACAGGAAGGAGGATGTCACGGCTGATCTTCATGAGCTGACCTAAATTTTGGGTGATAGGCTGAGCAGACTAGTTGATGCTGAACAGGTTTCGGTTTCGGCTGAAAGATCACTAGTCTGGATTCTAGCTGTAATTAAGATGTACTTTTCTTGATGAAAATTTGGTAAGAAAACCAGGTGTCCCTGGAGAGTCCTACCAAGAGACAGATGTACAAGTAGCATTTCCATTTTTTTAAAACAAGAAAAAATATGAGACTAGTGAAATATTTGAGTAAGTGATCTAAGCTTTATCTTATGTTCGGTGAAATTCCAGGTTTTGGTTAAATAATACTTGATTTGCTCATGAAAAAGATGCTATTTTTGTCTTTCCTGACCGCTTTAAAACTTTAATTGCAGGAAGTTCTACTTGCATAAAACATGATATTAAGGAAACTATTGTTATCACTGTAGAACCAGGTACAATCAAAGACTCGGTGATTAAACCTTATCTGCTTAGCGCTTGGGAATTACAGACTTGTACCTGGGAACCGCAGGCATGCAGTGATCAGGGCCTGAAGTGTTTGGTGCCGAGCTGGTGGTCTGGCAGTTCCTGCATGGCTCCTGCTCTGAGGGTTGTGAGCTTTGAGTTTTCCCAGCACAAGATAGCTACTGGCTGCTGATTTTATGGCTGTGCACAGCAGTGATGTACATTTCTTACGTTGTCAGTAGGTGTGTAACTCATCTGATACCTGCTGCAGCAGTGCGGGACAAACCAGACATGGGACTTTTAGTAAGCAGATACAAACCTAGTTTGGTGGTAGAGGTAAGCATGAACAAACATGGCTTAAGTGTTTGAAGTGCTTGTAGCTCATGAGCCAAGAAGTGGTGAGAGGTAGGTGGAAGTGGTAAGTGCTGGTTTGTTAGTTTTTCTCCAAAAGTATAGTGAATAGCTTTTCCTTCTTAGGCAAGCTGTTGGTATGGTTGACTTGGTTAGAAATTGGTGGGCTTCTGAACAGAGCCATGACCCATTCTGAATCTGTGACTCTTCAGTTTTGCTGTTCCTTAAATATGGGGTGGATAATGTTCCTTCAGTTCTTGCATCACCTGTTGCTAATGGATATCATACTGCTGCCTTCTGTCCGTGGTGGCCTTCATTAATGGAGAGAGTATGGCACCAGTAGAAGGTCCCAGTCCCAGATGTGTTGTGTCACAATTTGGAGTTTCCTTGGCACTTTGCTTCCACTTTCTCTGCAGAACAGGATAGTAATGCTAAAATATAGGTATGCTCTGCAAGGGATGTTCTTTGTGCACAGTCCTTTTTGTTCAAACTGATAACATCCATCTGTTGCAGTTTTTAATGTACTGTCTTGCTTCTAAGATGAAATAAATGACTGAGGTTCACGGGCAGCACTGAAGTCATTTGAACTCTGCATGTCCAGTTGAAAACAGTGGTGCCTCCAGAGAATGATCCATTTTTGCCAACTTTGCAGTTGAAACAATTTATGTGGGTATGGTAGTGTGCAGGGGCATGAAGTTGGATGTGCTGGTTGCAGGATCCCATGTGGTGTTACAGGTGACTGTAGCTGTGCACCCTTGCTGTCTGTGTCTCAGTGTTCACAGTTTGTACTTATGCTGTGGCTGGTGCAGTGCAGTCTGTGTTGTGCATCGTGGTGATTCATTAGAAATTCTTAAAAAAGCCATATTAGGTTATGAAGGATTTAGTAGTGTTTGTAATAGAAATGAGAAACTTCTTTTTTTTCCTGTATTTCATCTTCTTGAAAGGTCCCCCAAAGAGTTAAGTTCATGAAGAAGAAGAAACTACTGGCAAGATGACAGTATCTGTTTCATGTTTGTTCTCTGAGTGAGACTTTGTTTATTCAGTTGATGTCAGCTAACCATCATGGGACTTAATGGGAAGGTCTCATGTTGAACTAATGGATTATGTAGTGGTTTAAAACTCCTCCAAACCTAAGCTCTCTATTTTATTTTCACAGAATAAATATATAATATATATGCATTTTTTAAAGATGTCTGTCTTCTTAAGAGTATTTGGGGAAGAATAATTTTTGATGTATGTAGAAGTTAAGAGTTTTGCCTCCTCATAAGTGGTGTCTGTGATGTCAGGCTGAGGATGTTACAGAAAAGGAGTAGCTCAGATGTAAGACTTAGGTTTGAAACTGCTTTGTGCTATTATACTTTCCATATTGATGTTGTTGTCAATCAATTATGTTGGGTGTTAAAAATTTTGAATTTTTTCTTTATTCCAGATGAAATAAAGACAGAACTGGAAAAAAAAAGGTAAATTATTAGTTGCTGTAAGCTGTGCAAGAAAACAGCAAACTGAATAACTTGGTAATGGAAATGTGAAAGTACACCTAAGTCACTGCAGTGAACTTGTGAATACTTGTGAATACCTTTATGCCAAAAGCATGGTGAGGTCCATATCTCCCATTTACACAATGTCTGTGGCTCTGGGTACTCAAACCATAACTGCCTTCTGAATTTCACTATGAAATAATTGCAGAACTTCTAACAGGTGTTAGATTTTCGTTTCCTGTTACTGGGCTTAATATAGCCTACTAGGATACCTGCTGCTGCTTACAATTTTCAGTTTGATAGCATATGATCTTAATTACGTAGATCAAGAATACCGATGTAATTTACTTCTTAACATAAAGTATTAAAACACTGTTCCAGCACTGTGCTATGATTTTGAAATGAGCTCCAAAAATGCGTGTTTTTTTTTTTTCTTAGTGTACTTCATACAGGCTCTGTTCATGTAATTCAGAATGGCTTAGTTTTATCACTGAGTTGTTTTCTGGTATTTCAGGTAATGAGAATATGTAGAAAAGGTCAGATGGAAAATGAAAACAACTTCACATTTTTCATGTACGATTTTAAAGAAGATCAAACTTTTTAAAGAAAGTATGCAGAAGAGCATCTTGCATTATGTTCGTATGCTTCTGTGTACCATCTAGCTTTAAATGTGAAAAAGGAGGATGGGTAGTTTGCTGTGATAATATGTTTAGAAAAATAAACAACTCTTCTCCTCTGACCTAGAGAAGGCACTGTTGCTCCACCAAAAGCAAACTTCATTGAAGCTGATAAGTACTTCCTTCCCTTTGAGCTGGCCTGCCAGTCAAAGTCACCGCGCATTGTCAGTACTTCACTGGATTGTTTACAGGTAAGTTAAAACTCAGAGTGGAATGGAATAACATGCACTTAAAATTTTGTATGCTGTTGGCGTTCTTAGAGAGAAGTATTATTATCCTGAAAACATACAGCTGTGCTATGGATGTTAAAATGCATAAACTGCAAAGTATGTTATCATCAGATTGGGCTTTAAAAAGAATATTTACCGTGGTGTCCTTTGTAGTTCTGAGTTCTTTGTGCTGGGAGATCAAATCCAGGATTGTTCTATCTTGTGCCTCTCTCAGTATTTAGAGAAAAAACAAATGTGACTTAGCTTCATCATGCTATTTTGACCGAACCTTTCTGTTGTGAGAAGGTTCAAAGGCAAAGGTCAGATAAACTTTGTCTAATTGCACTAGGAGGAAATGTGGCACAGAAATGTGTATTACCTATTAAATCTTGTCTAAGTCTATGAACAGCACAAGTATTTGCTAACCAGGCTATTGAAGGTGTTAAATTTGTGTTAAAACTGTTAAAGCGAGGTAGGCTGCCAAACCCACTTTTTATGGCATACTCAAACTTATTTTATTATACTTATTTTACTTAAAAGTATATGGTTATGTAAATCACAGAATCATAGAACTAACTTGTGTTCTTTTTATCTAGAAACTTATTGCATATGGACATATCACTGGCAATGCCCCAGACAGTGGAGCTCCTGGGAAACGCCTGATTGATCGGATAGTTGACACAATTTGCAATTGCTTTCAGGGTCCTCAAACAGATGAAGGAGTACAACTGCAGATAATTAAGGTATTTTATTTGATACAGTTTGTGATTGTGTGATTTTAATTACACAATTTTTCTGTCGTTGATTTTGTAACTGAAAAAATAGCTGTGAAACACCATTTAAGATCCAGTTTCTCCATTTCTTGCAGCATTAGATATGTTACTGAATTCAGATCTATTGTTTCATGGAATTTTTCAGGCTCTCCTCACTGCAGTAACGTCTCCGTATATAGAAATTCATGAAGGAACAGTTCTCCAGACTGTTAGAACCTGCTACAACATCTATCTGGCCAGTAAAAATCTTATTAATCAGACAACTGCCAAAGCTACTCTTACACAGATGCTAAATGTCATTTTCACACGGATGGAAAATCAATCTGTATGTACCTATTGCCTTTGCTCATCTCAAACATTTGACTTGACAAACTACTAGAATACTTTTGTGTGTGTCTATTGTAGTTAAATATCTGTTGATTTGTAATTTAAAACAGCTGTCATTCTGCAGTGAAGCATAGTGTAGTATACCAGTTTGATTAAGAATAAAATAGGAAGCTTGTTGTTGATAAGTGTTTTACCACTTCACTTTCTGCTGAACAGTTTTGTACAAACAATGCAATGCTTCTGAAATAAGCTTTGCACTCCTATGGCTGAGCTAAATCAGGTCTTTGTCATTGGAGCAGCCAAGCAATGTGTTTTGTTGTTTCTCATAAGTATGTGAATTCTCAAGGGAAATCAGTTATCATAGATATTTATTTTTCCTTATGTTTTCTGCCTTACATAACTTTATTCACACCATTTTCTCAAGGTACAAGAATCCAGAGAAGTGGGAAAAACAAATCAGCAAAAATCCCAGTCTCCTGCAATTCAAGCAGTGACCAGATCTCCAAAGATGGGTCAGGTAAAGCACCACTATCAGGAAGGCAAATGCACTGCTCCTGTAAGTGTGGAATTAACTAATGGTGAGCCTGAGAGGACAGGATACGGAAATGTGAAGTCGGAGCAGGATTTGGTTCCTTCAGCATCAGGTGAACACAAATTGCTTTCAGTTGCATTTCTATTGCAAAATGCTTTCTTACACTACTGTTGGGAGAAATGATTGGGGCTGTTGGCTCAAATAACATTTGCATCTTCTTGGTAGCTCTTCAGTGTATACAGGCCATTATTAGATATTGCCTGCAATATTGTAAGCACTGAAGAAAGGCTTACTTTTGTCCTAGAATTATTCTGAAACTACATGTGGTTCCAGTATATAGAATTATACTGGAACTTGAAATGATTAGTTTGACAGAAGGGAAGTAGAGGAGAAAATAATCATGAAGTGATAGAGTTACTTTAAGATAATTGAAATCCTGTGGTAAAAACGTGTATTAAGAAAATGTTACCATATGCATATACTGTATCAAAATAGAAAAGTAAGGTATTTCAAAAGGGAAAAAATCATTACTCTTGATAAATACAAAGGACAAAGATGCTACGTTAAAAATGTAAGTGCTTGGAAATGAATGATGGAAATAACTTAAATGAATATTTTCATATGACTTGTTTGAAAAGGCTTGAAATGAGAACTACTTGAGAAAATTTTACTACCTCTAACCTTTCTGCCTCTGTCCCTTTTTCCTTTATCTTCTTCCTAAACAAAAGTACAAAATTCAAAATTATCTCTCTATTTCATCAGAGGAAACAACTGATGGAGGAAAGGAAATGGTTAAAGGCATCTTGGAAGATGTGGTTGAGTCAGCTGTGAAAGGTAGCAAATCTTCAGAAATAAAGTAGATGCATGTTTATTGTAAAATTCTTATTTCTGTAATTATTAAAAGCACAGATTCTTTCTTACTATTGTTATTAAGTACCTGTAAAGAACACAAACTAAGGCAATAAGAAAAGGCCTTTTATTGTCGTAGTGGATTCTTCTATTGTTTGTAGCTGAAAAATCTAGTTTACTATTGCTGCTTCTGTGCCAGTCAATTGTAGAGCTTCACAAATGTCATGGATTGAAAAAAGTTTCAGTTGTATTTTTCTTTCTCCCCTTTAGTAGCTGAAGAGAAGCAGGTAACAGAAATGGCTAAGGCTCTACCTGCAGTAGAGACTGCAGATACTATTCTTTCTGGCTCTAGTAGTGAAAACATACAAACAAATGGAATTCCAGATGATGGACAGTCTGTTTCCTCTACTGATAATCTGGTAAATAACTTCACTGGATGCCTGTGTATGGATAGGAAAGGAGGAAAATTTTCACACTGATTAATACAGTGGGATTTTGAGGAGAGAAGGAACAGAAGATTTAATGTATGTGTCCTGCTTTGGTTCAGAAAGGAAGCAGCAAATTCAGTTTAAGTAGATGTTGAAAATGACTGTTCTAAAATTGATTGTTAATTGTAATTTAGTATTGGTGGGAGGAAAGAGAGGTGGTTTGGATCACTTGGATTCCAGTTTAGGTTTCATTTATGTCTTAGCAAACAATTAGCTAATTCTTAGAAGAGCTATAGAATCTTTCTTAATTGCTTTATTCCTTTGTCTCGCTGAGTATCCAATATTTTATTTCCTACTCTTTAGGAAGCAGACATATCTGGCCATCAAGCGGCTGCCAAATTTTCTCATGTTCTGCAAAAGGACGCCTTCCTCGTGTTCCGGTCACTGTGCAAGCTCTCCATGAAACCACTTGGTGATGGACCACCAGATCCTAAGTAATGAAGCTGTATTAATTATCCTGTTCTCTCCTGGTAGCTTTTGGAAACGGGGGTGCAGATAAGTAGTTGCTGTATGCTAAAGTGGGTATTCAAAATTGATCACTCAGGCCCTTATTTCTTCTAGCTTGATGAAGCAAATTTCAGTCCTAGATTCATGTCTTTAAAATGTAGTACTTGAAAGATTTCCACATACAAGTTTGTATTCAGAGATGCAGTAAATCTTTATTTTCTATGTTAATTCTTTTTTCTAGATCCCATGAATTGCGTTCTAAGATAGTGTCTCTCCAGCTTCTTCTCTCAGTACTACAGAATGCTGGTCCAGTTTTCAGGACACATGAAATGTTCATCAATGCAATCAAGCAATACCTTTGTGTAGCATTGTCTAAAAATGGAGTCTCATCTGTTCCTGATGTGTTTGAGCTCTCTATTGCCATCTTTCTCACACTTCTCTCCAATTTTAAGACTCATTTAAAAATGCAGATCGAGGTGAGAAAGTTTTGCCATTTTTCTGAATCTCTAATTCTCAAATAAGGATACTCCAGTGATAAAAATTCAGTGGCAATTTAATGTCTTAGTTTTGATTGCATAATATACTGATAAATTAATTCTATATTGAGTTCTTCTTTACATGAAATTATATTTTTTAAGCGAAATTGTGAGTAGAAATGAATTTGTACATTTGACGTAGTTCTAACAAGTTTCAGATCAAGTCCTTTTCCTCATGTATTTTGCAGGTGTTCTTCAAAGAGATCTTCTTGAATATTTTAGAGACTTCTTCAAGCTCATTTGAGCACAAATGGATGGTGATTCAGACTTTAACTAGAATTTGTGCAGGTATTTATGTTGTTTGAAAAGCGGCTGCTTTGTCTGGCAGCAGAGGAAAATTATTTTCTAGAAAATGCTAATCTAATGTTTAAGAAGTTCTTTGGGAAAAAATGAATTTGATCCCTTAATGCTTGAGTTAAATGTGTGTATTAAAACCTGCTGCCTGCTCTGAGTATTTCCTTTTAAAAATGCTGTTACACAGAACTCTAATGCTTGCACTTTCATTTATTTTCAAGATGCCCAGTGTGTAGTGGATATTTACGTTAACTATGACTGTGATTTAAATGCTGCTAATATATTTGAACGCCTTGTAAATGATTTGTCCAAAATCGCACAGGGACGAAGTGGGCATGAATTGGGAATGACACCTTTGCAGGTAAGGATAACAGCTTTGAAGCTGAGGTATCATTATGTCTCTAGGTTATTGATACTTTCTGTAGTTTGTTGTCCAAAACCTACTGGTGTTACTTATTTTTTATTAGTTAGCTGTTTTAGATAAGTTTTTAAGCTGGATAATGAAGCACCATGATTGATTTACTTAGTTTTGCAGTATGTCTAGATTGTGACACTGAACTTGTTCTGTGCTCTTTTGATCCTCTCTCCCTTGGTGGGCCAACAAATGAGCCTTTCCTTAATCATGTGTTCCTTTGGCCAAGAATGAAAGTAATATCAAGAAACCTTAGAGTCAGTGTTTGGATGAGCTAGTTTACTGCACAGTTAAAGAAGTGAGACACTTTTCTTTGTGGAGAGCTCTGATGCTATAGAAACTTGCTGGATGTTCATAATCATTCATACATTTAAGTTGCATTTAAGAATTGGGGTATATTGCCTTTTGGTTTTACTTATCAGCTGTGAATAGATCCAGCACTTAAAGCAGCTGGAATGTGGCATCAGTCTAGTTATGGATGTTTTAGGCCTGGATGTGTCCAACCTAAATTGTCAAGGGACAGAAATGTACTTGGTATCATCATAGCTGATGAACTTACTAGGATTTAAATAGTGTGATGTAATGCATCCTAAAAATTTGTGGATACAAGTGTATTGTGTTTTCTTGTTGGATATTTCTAGGAATTAAGCCTGAGGAAAAAAGGGCTTGAATGTTTGGTTTCTATTTTAAAATGTATGGTAGAATGGAGCAAAGACCTTTATGTGAACCCCAACCATCAGACAAGCTTGGGTAAGATTGTTTTCCTTACAGGGAGACTAATTTGTTAAGTAAGCTTGTTCCTGTGTTTCCTTATGGTTCAGAAGTTATTCACTAGTGTAGATGCCAGGTTTTTACATGACAATTCATTTATATAAGTATTTTACAAAGGGTTATTAATACTATTTCAGTAGCTGACCCTCCAAATGTCTGATTTGAATAACAGGGTCTGTTTTAAAACTTAGCCAGGTCGTCATTGACACTGCAAAAGCTGGCTTATGTAGAACATGAATGTGACATATCTTGCAGCTCCTAGATTCAAGTGAAAGATCTTTAGAGATATTATGTGGCTTTTTTTCCTTTTGTTGAAATACTTTAGAAATGCATCTGTATAGCTATTTGTGTAATATAGTCTGGCAAAAAGTAAACCTGCTAGAATTAGGATTTTGGCTTATAAAATTTAGAAGTTTTTCTGAGTTTTTACTGAACAGGATGACTTAAGTCTCTTCATGTTTATATATAGGTACATATAAGCCATCTGAACAGGAAATAGCTGAAGGAAAATGCCTTGACAGTGGAGGGAGACGAAGTAGTGTCAGTTCCTTGGACTCCACTGTGTCATCAGGAGTTGGGAGTGTTGGTACCCAGACTGCTGTCCCAGATGACCCTGAGCAATTTGAAGTCATCAAACAACAAAAGGAAATAATTGAACATGGGATAGAGCTGTAAGTTCAGTAATGAAGAAAAAAATCCCAACAACTTGCTAGTTAAAAAAAAAAAGTGTATAACCATATTGTTTCTTAGTCTTATATAGTGACAAGTAAAGGGGCATGTGACTGTTGAATTTAGTCCTGAAGGCTCTTGCTTCTTTTAGAAAGGAGCACTGAGGGGCTACTGTATTTAGAAAGGAATTCAGTGACATCTTCAGTGGAGCTTGTTTCATAGTATTCCTTTGTGCTGGTACACACAGGTGTGCGTATATCTAGGCTGAAACTGATTTGGGTAGGCAGACACATTGTCTTCCAGCTCTTTAAACCAGTTGTTGTCTTTATTGAAATAGTTGCAGTGAAATGCTTGTTCAGCAGTGGTTTATTGCTATTTCATTAATTTGAAGAACTTTCTCTGAAAATGCTATGTACAGCAGCATTTTTAATGGAAATTCTCTGATATCTGGTATTTTAAGAGGGAGGTTTTCACTATATGCATCATTTCAGCCATGTTTTTGTCTGAATAGGTTTAACAAAAAACCAAAGAGAGGAATACAGTATCTACAGGAGCAAGGAATGCTTGGCAGTACTGCTGAGGACATTGCACAGTTTCTGCACCAAGAAGAACGTCTCTGTTCTGTAAGACTATGGGCAATATAAGATAATTCATATTGTTTCTAAACAAGAATACTTACGGTGTTGCTGTCTCATCCTTTTGTATTCACTCTGAGTTCATATTTAATTAATAGATAACTAAAAGCATAAGAGTTCTGATGAATATACTTAATCCCAATGCTGCTTTATATTTAATAAAATATCCCAGACATTTTAGTAAATTTAAGTAATTTTAGTAGCTGTTTTCAATGAAGTGCCGAGGGGTGCAGGGTTTATATATATCTGCATTAATAGTATCTTGTCAAGTGAAGGAATTTCATTTGGCACACTGTCAATGCATTTTTCACTGCATGTGAAATGGGGTGCAAATTAGCTTTCCTTGGATCTGTGTTAATGCAGTTTTCACCTTGTGGGGAATAAGGGAAACAAGAATAAGCAAGCTATGTCTGTTTTCTATTGATGCTGGTTTCCTGCCATCCTTGTAACAGTTGCTCTGCTGACTTAGTGAATTGGATCAGTCTTACAAAATTCAGAGCTGTGCAACTCTAAGTTTTCTTGCAAAGCTGGCAGTTGGATTACATAGTAGTAACTGTCTCTTGTTGTTTTTAGACTCAAGCAGGGGAATTTCTTGGGGAAGGCAGCAAGTTTAACAAGGAAGTGATGTATGCCTACGTGGACCAGCTTGATTTCTGTGGGAAAGACTTTGTCTCTGCTCTACGTATATTTCTGGAAGGCTTCCGGCTGCCTGGTGAAGCCCAGAAGATTGATAGATTAATGGAGAAGTTTGCTGCTAGATATATTGAATGCAACCAACGGTAATTCAAAACCTTGTATTGGATAAGTTCCTGAAAAATGCATGTTTTGTTCATGGTCCTTAAGAATGAGGTACAAGTCTTGCTCTTACCAGGTTGGGTATTTCCACAAGTGTGTCTGTTTTCTTTCTTGTGAAAGTGGAGGTAATGGGTGGAGGAATTAGGTCTCTAATAACACGTTTATTTTTCTTCTCTTAGGCAAACGCTGTTTGCTAGTGCTGACACTGCCTATGTTTTGGCATACTCCATCATAATGCTGACTACAGATTTACACAGTCCACAGGTAAAAATAAAAAAAAAAAAATTAAAGACTTGTAGAAGCTCAGGTTTCCACAGAACTTACATTCAAAACCTGATATCCTGATTCTTTTCTACAGGTAAAGAATAAAATGACAAAGGAACAATACATTAAAATGAATCGAGGAATCAATGACAGTAAAGACCTGCCAGTAGAGTATTTATCCACGATCTATGAAGAAATAGAAGGAAAGAAAATTGCCATGAAGGAGACAAAAGAATATGCAATTACAACCAAGTGTAGTAAACCAAGTAAGAAGGATCTAGAAACTGGAAAGACCACATGTTCTGAACTATTGCATAACTTTCAGGATGGCATAGTGGAGTTCAGGTTGCTTTTGAAAACATCTTTGTGCAATATGTGAATTACATTTAGAATACTAATATAGATATCTGGAATGAAACTGGCTTACAGTTGTTACTTAATGCAGCTATTTCTGTGATGGAAACATGGCTGTGTAAGTGCATCCAGAAAGTGCATCCACTGCAGAAAGGCACTAGAAACTAAATTTATTTTTTCTTTTTAATGGAAGTGGGGGAAATGTTTAAAAAAAAAAAAAAAAATTTGCTGTTATTTTGTTCATCAACTTCTTGCTTTTATATACGAGACGTGTTTTTTTTCTTTATCAGTAGCATGTCATAGTTCATAGGTAATAAATGTCACTGTCCTTGTGATAATCTATAAGAAAAGAGATGCTGAAGAGTATGTCATATTCTACAGTTGCTTTCTCTCATCCACAGCAAGCAAAGATTTGTGTGTAGTTTACTGTAGAAACTAGTGTCTCCAGCTGTACTCTCCTAATATACAGTGGTCATTCATTCAATTCTGAATCTTCAGCATAGTGCTTTTTTTGGCATCTTCCATGGTATTTGCAAGTTTCCTAGTTCAGAACAGAAACAAAATGATCTTTTGTGTTTCTTCATCCTTACACTAAGTTAGTAACTTATTTTTAAATTGGTGAAAGACTTGTTTTGTATGGGGGATGTGAGTCTAAAACTGTGAAGCAATTTCCATCCATTATTATAAGCAGAGTAAATTAATAGACTATACCTATCTATCATGTGCTTGGTATGAATAAAAGGCAGAATCTAGATATACTGTGTAGAATAAACTGTTAGATTGAGGTGTGGATTTTGGTGCTGGAGTTCCTTGCTTGCAGCCTATGAAAGCCTCCTAAATTGTAATGGCTCTGGAAGATTATCTTTAGATTTCATTGTCAGTACCTTAATTTAATGTTTGTCAGTATGAAGGTGCGGATTCTTCTCTTATGTGGGGGAAAAAAAGGCAAACCAACAATGCATCTGTGTGGTCTTCCCATTAGGTGTAGCGAATGAGAAGCAGCGGAGGCTTTTGTACAACTTGGAGATGGAACAAATGGCTAAAACTGCTAAAGCTCTCATGGAGGCAGTAAGCCATGCAAAGGCTCCTTTTACTAGTGCCACTCATCTGGATCATGTCAGGCCCATGTTCAAAGTGAGTGTCTGAGAAATTCTTGTTATCTTCATTGTTAAGAGTTTCAAGCGTGGAAAAAAAAAAAAGGGGGAAAATGACTGAAGAGTTGGATAATGCAGCAGGTGGAAATGTTTTTGATATATTTAGTCCCTATTGCATAATGTTTTAGACTAAAATCATAATGGATTTGTGAACTTAATTTCTTCCTTTCTTTAGCTTGTTTGGACTCCATTGTTAGCAGCTTACAGTGTTGGTTTGCAGAACTGTGATGACACAGAAGTTGCATCCCTTTGTTTGGAAGGCATACGATGTGCAATTCGAATAGCCTGCATCTTTGGAATGCAGGTTTGTGTGAGACTTTTCTCAATAATTCTGCTTGTATTTTATTGCTGAGTCCTATTAAGAGTGCTAGCTAGTTTGCCTGCTACTCTTCTCACCCTGGAAAATGCTCTAGTATAACTGACAATTATGCAGTAAAGTAGCATAGGCATGCTGGCCAAGTAGCCTTTTCTAGCTCTTCAGGGACTTTATTGCAATGTCATGTTTCTCTGTTTTGTAGCTTGAACGAGATGCTTATGTACAGGCCCTTGCTCGGTTTTCCTTGTTGACTGCCAGTTCCAGTATTACAGAAATGAAACAGAAGAACATAGATACCATTAAGACACTTATTACAGTTGCTCACACGGATGGCAACTATCTTGGGAACTCTTGGCACGAGGTAACAACTTGAATAGTTTTCATGCAACTGCATTGTTCTTTGAAAATCTGCAGGACTTTGTTCTTCTAGTTCACTTACTATTTCTAGTCCTTAATTAACCACATCTAGCTCCCAGGCTGTGTTTCAGCTCTGCTGGAAAGATGGATATGAGTGCATAATTTTGCTAGTATTAAAAATAAGTCTATTTTTCTTGGCAGACTCAGTAGGCACAGCGTGATTAGCTTTGTAGTGTTTGTAGTTGCTTTTGATAAGGAATTAAAACTATACTGAATTTGCATTTCAATGCAATTCATGGAATTGTACACAGAAACCACTGCTTTCTTGTTCTTGTAATCAAAAATAGTCCAGCTCACAGCTCCAGATTTCTCTTTGTAGCGTTCAGCAACTTTTACACAACAATTGCATGAAGAAGTTGGTCCACAATAATTGAGTGAGGGAAAGGTGAGGATAATGTATAAGAATCATACTTATTTTCCTGAAGCATATTTTTCAAGAGCTCTTCAATCACTTCTAAATCAGAGATGCTGCTAAACTGGAATGTTCCTTCTGTGTTATATTCTTTGGTGCTAGATTTTGCATGATAATGTGAACCAAAAGGGGCTCTAGCTAAGAAGTTATGTGGACCTGGTTTAAAGCACAACCCCCAAATGCTTGTGCCAATCCAAGGGCTGTTGCAGTGTAAGGGAGTCAGGAAAGGCCTGTTCATGCTTTATAGCAAGGCAGTTTTGGCATTTTTCACTACCTGCGCTGTCATTATTAAATGGCAGCTGCTATAATGCAATTATGCAATTCGAGTTTTGAAAGCTGATGCTGTGAGACGTAGTAAAAAGGTCACTTCTGGTAGTTAGAGATCTAATTTAGATTTCTTGGCACTATATTATTTTTTTTCCTTGAGTGTTGGAATGATTTATGGCAGCTGGTGATCTTGATTGAGTCATTCAACACAGTTTGATTTACAGTTGCTTTAGTAATGTTGTTGTTGTCAAAGTTGTTTTAAAGGTTAGATAACCTGGGCAGTACTAGGAATAAATACACTATGGTATCCAGAAACTGTGTTTTAAAATAACTTTGTTTTTAGATCCTGAAATGTATTAGCCAGCTGGAGCTAGCACAACTTATAGGAACTGGAGTAAAAACTCGGTATTTATCTGGTGCTGGACGTGAAAGGGAAGGAATTATTAAAGGCTATGCATCTGGAGGGGAAGAGTTTATGGGCCTCGGATTAGGTAAGATTAATAATCTTGAGCTTCACAGAATGTGTATTTAATTGAAGTGTGATGGCTAAGGGCTCAGTCTTATAAGATAGCAAAATATATCTGTTCATTTGCTTCTAGTGGATTAATGGAATTTAAAAAATCCATCGTAACCTTCCAAGATATTTTAGTAATTATTGAATATGTTCACACTTCAATAATTTTAATAGTGTGTAAAGGTATTTAACAGAATGCCTCCAGATTGATTTGTTGGGATGTGATGTTTTCAAAGGTGTTTTACAATTTTCTTACCAGTGTTATCAGTTCTCCCTCTCTATGCTCTGTTTGCAATTAAAACACGGACAGTTTCTCTTTATTGTTTCAATGATAATTTTTTTCCAAAGGAATTCCTTATTTCTGCATCTTAGGCTTGCTGTTTTGGTTCCTATTGTTCCAGTAGTATGTGCAACAAAAAGCTGTAAATTAAAGGAGAAAGCAGGCTGTCTTAATCTTTGGAAAACTGTCAAAGTGACACTTAAATTCCAAAGTACTTGGGAGCTCATGCTGTCCATGATGATTGGATGGCGGATGGTTGGGCTAGATGACCTTAAGTTGATCTTTTCCAACCTTAATGATACGATAATTCTGCGATGATGCTGAATATAGCAGAACTGTGCCTAACTAAGCTGCTGTATCAGATTGAGTTAATATTTTCAAGTGTTTTATCTGTTCCAATCATATTAACAGTATTACATCTGAAGTAAATTAACATAATGACCAAAACGCTATGCCCTCAGTAAAAAGAACCTCTAACTGCATGTTTGTCATAATCTGGCACAGATCACACAAGGGCACCATCTTCTCCATATACAGTAGTTGCTTTTCTTTGTTTACTTGTAAAAGCTCTAAAAACGTGATGCTAAACACTGTTTGTTTTTATGGCTTTTATTGCAGGTAATCTTGTTGGAAGTGGTGCTGATAAGCGGCATATGGCGAGCATTCAAGAGTCAGTGGGAGAGACCAGTTCCCAGAGTGTCGTGGTAGCAGTAGACAGGTACTTAAAATTTGTTCTGTGGAAAAAGTGACTTGAAGATACTGACCTTGCTTTATTTGCAGACTCTGACAGGGATTTCTGTTCTTGAAGCCTCTTTCTCTCAAGAGAAAGGCAATGTTTAGATGCTGTCTTTGGAGCCACAAAGTATAAGGCTTCAGGCACGCAGTATTCACCAGAAGAAAGGCTGGCATTAAATAACTAATGTAAACCAGTGCAGTGGATTTGGAGCATGGGCACTGTGTGTGCTTGTGTTTTTGATGCCTTTCCTTGGAGTAAACAAGTGATTTAGGTATCTTTGTTTTGTATCCCTCTGTTTCTCATCTGTGTGCATGCAATCTGTGTATGTGGGCCTTTTCCTCAACCCCATTTTGAGTTAGCTTGAGGTGGGCTGGTATCTGAAAAGAATAAATGCCCATGCTCTATCAAGTCGTGCAATTTTATTTGGTCATGTGAGCTTCAGTATTGCAGCATTTAGTTGGTCTTTTGCAGCTTTTTGTTTGTTAGTCACTGTATTCTTGTCTAAATTATCATCTTTTTCATTTGTCTTTTTAAATATTGTGTAAGAGAGATGCTTGTATTAGAAGTAGTGTTGAAAAGGGCATTTTTTATAATTATTGAAGCTGCTTGACAAGTCAATAGAGTCGTATATTTGGGCTTTTAATACTTCCTGTAACATAGATATGCACGTACCATATCATAAATTCAGGAACAGTTTGCACTTGCCAGTAATTTAATTTGTATGCCTCATAATTAGCAATCTGAACTTCTCTCAAGACTCTGAAGAGCTAAGGGGAGGAAAGAACCATAGTGAATTTGTAGTCTTTCTGGTCTTTCTGCTATTTGTACTGGTAGCCACAACTTAGAGTATTATAAATTACATAAAGCCCAAGCAGATGGTTAGCATCCAGCAAAACGTGCCATCGTAAAGTACTACAGGATGCTGCTGACAATTGCTTACAGCTCTAGGATTTGATTGGTTCTTGGGGATGTGAGCTAAAACTGCAACATTTATTTCTTCTGTAGGATATTTACAGGATCTACTAGGCTGGATGGAAATGCAATAGGTAAGTATGCCAACCATATGGAGCAATACAGAAATTCTTGCCATGTAACACTCTGAATTTACAGTAGTGTGTTGTCATGTTCAGTTGACTTCGTCCGCTGGCTGTGTGCTGTCTCTATGGATGAGCTGGCTTCCCCACACCATCCACGCATGTTCAGTCTGCAGAAGATAGTGGAGATATCCTATTACAACATGAATCGCATTAGGCTGCAGTGGTCAAGGATTTGGCAAGTGATTGGAGATCACTTCAACAAGGTATTTTTTAAAACCAGATTACGTAACGTATGTCAGTGTGGAAGGACTTTTCATCTGCTTTTTCTTTTTATGCTTCTGAATGGTGTAGGTTTTGATGTCAAAGAAATAAAGCCTGCTAACTTCTCAGCAGTTTATATGTAGTAATCCTAACAATATTTACTTACAGAAATGCTTTCTAATGCTACGTGAAACATCTATTTCAAAATTTGAAGAGTGGAGACAAAAATGGAAATATTCATGGAAAGGATCTTTTTATAATGAAGGATCACTTCATTATATGACTATGTATTTACTTCTTCCTTTGTGCCATTGTATTATGCTCCTGGTCAAATACCAAATTAGCTTTCCTTTACAACATATACAAGTGATACTGTAACAACAAAGTTAGTTTTCTTGGAAGTTTGGACTGCATTCCTTTCTAACCTATGTTTTGTTTTGGTTTTGAGTATCTAGCTGATTATTCTTCTGCACTTTCTGCATATGAGATCTATGGGGCTGTTGAGATTTCTTATGACTGAGACAGGCAGTCCTCCTGTTTTCTGAATGTCTGGAAACTACAGTGTGCTTCGGATTTTCAGTGGACTGATATGAAACTAGTATGATGAATATGTTACTTATATAAGTAATAAGTTAGCTGATATGTTTGAAAATGTGTTTCTTCTAGGTTGGCTGTAACCCTAATGAAGATGTTGCCATCTTTGCAGTAGACTCATTAAGGCAGCTGTCCATGAAATTTCTTGAGAAGGGAGAGTTGGCCAACTTCCGCTTCCAGAAAGACTTCTTAAGGCCTTTTGAGCATATTATGAAGAAAAACAGGTGTGATGGACTGATGTTAGCTTACTTTAGTCCTTTTTAAAGATGTTTTTTTGTGTGGATTTAATTGTATTGCATCTGTCAGTGGCTGTTGATGTAGTGTTTCATTTTCTGTTTTATTTTCCTAAGATCTCCAACTATTCGGGACATGGTAATACGCTGTATTGCTCAGATGGTGAACTCTCAAGCTGGCAATATTCGCTCAGGCTGGAAAAATATCTTTGCTGTCTTTCACCAAGCAGCATCAGACCACGATGGGAATATTGTGGAGCTGGCCTTTCAGACTACAGCACATATAGTTAGTAAGTAATACTTGACAGATGCAAGTACCAACTTTTAACTTAGCTTCTGTGACCCATCTGCACATGAGATTTGTATTCACAAGTAAATAAATGCGAGATCTTGCAATTAAACCATTTAAGCTCTGCAGCTAAGTCTTGGCTGTTAAGTCTCTGAATTCCTATGAATAAGAAAAAATGCATGCAGATCCCTTGCTGCAGAACTCTTCAAATTAGGTGTAAATTCAATATTTCTCTGTTGCCTATTAGTAAATTGATGCAGATTAGGGAAACTGCATTAATAAATTTTGTGAACTTCATGCTGTTTCAGTATCATATGGTATATCATGTTTATGACACTGGTATGTTATTACTTGTGAAGTTTAGTTCATACAGACTGTGTACTCTAGAAGTATATTTGAACAATATACTATGGCTGCTTTCACAGGAAGACAACCAACTCAGGTATTTCAATACTGATGGCAGCTTTAAATGTTCTGAACCTGCTGTATTCCCATTAATTAGCTTGGAGGGAAAGAGTTGTGGACAGTGTTAATAAATGCAAATAGTAAGAAAACTTCTGCTAATTTGAATTAGAGTAGTTCAGTTGAAAGAAACCTATGAAGATCAAGTCCAATTCAAATTGCATAGATCTTGAGAGTTGTAGTCTGTTCAAAAGTACGTACTGGCTTGAGTTTGTGTTTAGTTTGTCCCTTACCCTGAAATCTAACTGCTTTATTCTCTGTTGCTGCAGAATCTGAATAATTAAAGGCTTAGTTAAGATGCATCAGGCTTTACTCCTATTATTTTTATAGTGTTCTAATAGGATTGAGTGGCATATGCTGTGGAAGGAAAGTGAGCCACAGAAGAAACCATGAAAGAATCCTAGATTATCATTAGTTAACCAACCTGAGAATGTGGATAGATTCTGATACTGATGGATTTTCAGGGATGGGAGGATTGCACAAGAGTAGAAGGGAAGAAATAGTGTTTAATCCAGCGAATCTAGTCCTTTTGTCTGTTGTTTGGGTAGCAATATACCAGGTCTGACTTCAGTAGACCAATGTCAGTTCATCTATGCATTTCTATGTCAGTAAATTTTAAGAAATGTTTTTGTTTGTTCTTCACAGCAAATATTTTCCAACAGCACTTTCCTGCAGCAATTGATTCATTCCAAGATGCAGTAAAATGTCTCTCTGAGTTTGCTTGTAATGTTGCATTTCCGGACACCAGCATGGAAGCAATCAGACTTATTCGGTATTGTGCAAAATATGTTTCAGAAAGACCACAGGTATTTTATTTTTTTAAACATTGTACATTCTTACTATCTTCTTACTGTCTTAATTGAGGTTCTTCTTGCAGCTAAGAACTTTCAGACTCAAACTTCAGTCTCCCAGCAGCAAGAGTTTGTGTTAAAAGTGTATTCAGAATTAGGAATTGTTTTGGTGTTATGTAAGTAATGAACTAGGATTAGTTAACATGTTAAAGGTGTCTTTTGGTTTAAAATGGAAGCTATTACCATTGAAATACTTATTTTCTGTATATATTTTCCAAGTTCTTTCACAGATTGATGTGTCTCAGATTTATATTTGACAAGAGTTGATTGTTACAGTAGAAACTAAGCTAATTTTTCAAGTTTGTCTGTGTACCATTAGGGGTATATAATCTATCTTAAAAACTTCTGAGTATTTTTTTTAATCTATTTTTCCTGCCCATCTCCAAGGTATTAAGAGAATACACGAGTGATGACATGAATGTTGCTCCTGGGGACAGAGTATGGGTCAGAGGATGGTTCCCCATTTTATTTGAGCTTTCTTGTATCATAAATCGTTGCAAATTAGATGTTCGAACAAGGTAACAAAGCTTTTCTGGTTCCTGTATGCATTCAATTAGGGAGGCGATCAGAGGTACATGTTTTAACATAATCTTTATTTGTTTTAGAGGTTTAACAGTGATGTTTGAAATAATGAAGAGTTATGGCCATACCTTTGAAAAGCATTGGTGGCAAGATCTGTTCAGAATAGTATTTCGGATTTTTGATAATATGAAACTTCCTGAACAACAAACAGAGGTAAAACAAAGAAAAAGTCAAGCAAACTTTACTCTCCTTTTTTTTCCTTAAGAACTTGAATGATCCAGGTGGCAGCTTGTGTTGTTTGCTGTCAGTGTATTCCAGCCCATGCTGTTACAAACTTTGTTTGTAATGATAATTCGTTATATTATGTTCTGTTGCACGTACAAGATGACCAATGCTTGATAGCTTCCATGTAGAAACTTGCCATAATATTCTTTCTGTTCTTCATAATGACTATTCTCCATAACTATTCTCAAGGAAAGTATTCTTGCTTTGAAATACCACATACTGTTCAGAACAGTAATCACATGACCAACTAAGTACTTTCTGGCAAGGTATCTTCATAGCAGGTATTGGGGTCTTCCAGTTTTATCTGAATTCAATTCTTCTCATAGGCCATCTCTTCTTTTGAATGGCCATTCATGAGCCAAATGCTATCATGCCAGACGAACCCACAAAGAAATAAATTTTTTTTTCTCGCAGAAATCTGAATGGATGACCACTACATGCAACCATGCACTTTATGCAATCTGTGATGTATTCACACAGTTTTATGAAGCTTTAAATGAGATCCTTCTTCCTGACATACTTGCACAGCTACACTGGTGTGTAAAACAAGGTAACTAGTTCACTTGCATCTTTTGATTAATGTATTTTTGACATACTCATTACTTAAGGGGAAAGCTAGTTGAATTTTTGAAGAGTAATAACTACCATCATCAGAATGTGTGATGTAATAAATGTCTGCAGAATCTTAAGTATTCCAGAGTCTCATTCTATTTAATCAGTTAGGCAGCTCTTCTGTTAATTTGTTTGTGGTGCTACTGGGACAGAGCAAAAGCTTTTAATAATGTTGTGCTAATCTTTTGCCAGCAGCCTTTCTGTGTGGATTAAATATCTTATATATACATGTCTGTAAATGAATGCATTCTGACTTTTTAAATTATTTTTTCCCACCTTCTGTCTCTCGATCACCTAGTGTTTCTACGTATGTCTTTCCAAGCATTTTTTCATTTAGGCTCAGTCTCTTAAGCCTGAAATTTTCTATATTGCTAGCATGGATTATGGGTGAAGTCTTCAAATTTCAAATTTGTGCTTTCCTTCATTTGTTCCACTGTATGCTCTTTTTCTGCTTCCCTCTTGTCCTTTGTCTTCCCTATTTGGATTTCAGGAAGTGAAATCTCAGTGTATTTTTAAGCACTGTTTTCTATTCAGTATGGTCCCCAACTTGATGTTACTGTATTATAGTTTATACGTATGCTTTGAGCTGAATTAATGTGCCTCTCAAAAAACATTTAATGGAGAGATTATAGTGCTTAATGTTTCACTGATATTGCTAAAGCTAATAAATATGAAATGTATCTTCCACAGAAAACGAGCAGTTGGCTCGATCAGGTACAAACTGCCTGGAAAATCTGGTAATACTAAATGGACAGAAATTCAGCCCAGAAGTCTGGGGCCAGACGTGCAATTGTATGCTAGAAATCTTCAAAACTACCATTCCTCATGTGTAAGTTCATAAGATATACTTCTCACACTAATGCTCTGTTTCAGAGCAACAGTATTTACTGTTTTTGTTTTTTTGTTTTGATGTGAAGCTTGCTCACGTGGAGGCCAGCGGGAATGGAGGAAGATTCAGCTGAAAAGCACTTGGTAAGAGTTAATTCAGTGCAACAAACTAAACTGAAGAGGCTGTGTTGGATTAGCTTCTGAAATATTTTATAGTAGTAGGTGTGCTTGACAATAAGTACTGGAATTGACATTGCCTTGTACTTGGTGTAGCTATCAAGTAGCTGAATAGGAATGGGTGCATGCATTCTTTTGAGTCTAAAATTCTGACGGCTGGTTGGTAGGTAACACTTTGAATTGTAAGGATGGTTCTAAATTCTGTTCTAGGATTTGGACCTAGATCGTCAGTCATTAAGCAGTGTGGATAAAAACGCTTCAGAAAGAGGACAAAGTCAACTTTCAAATCCAACAGATGAAAGCTGGAAAGGTGGTCCTTATACAAGTAAGGAAAACATCCAAGTTTATTAAATGAACTTTTACAGTCACTTTGCTTCTGTAGTCATTTAGAGGCAGTTTTAGGGCACTTGATAATTAATTTGAAAAACTTAGCTTGTCTTTCCAACTTGTATTTATTCCTTCTAGATTTTCTTTTTATAAGATAATACACAGCATTACCAAATATGAAAATAGTAATGTAGTACTTTGCTAATCTGTTGTACATTAATTGTTACAAGTTGCTTCTGAAACTTCTTTTGTTCTATTTCATTAGACCAGAAACTGTTTGCTGGCCTCCTTATAAAGTGTGTGGTACAGTTGGAGTTGATACAGACCATTGATAACATAGTATTCTATCCAGCAACGAGCAAGAAGGAAGATGCTGAGCACATGGCTGCAGCTCAGGTACCAGCGGACTTAGAAATAACTTTGTTAAGCAGTAAAGTACAGAATGCTTCAAAGTGTTCAAAAAATGCTGTGGTACTGTATGTAGCCTCCTCCTTTTTCTAGCTCTCCATAGTATCCTGAGTGTGTCTCCTTACTCCTAGTTATATTTTTTTTTAACTACCTCCAGTATTTCCTGGTAGTCTGCCCTTCAGATTATTATTGTAATGTGGAAGTTGAAATTTAACAAGGTGAACTGTCAAGACATAACTAACCACCTCCCTTGGAGAGGAGGTCCTTGCCCCTGAAAATTCTGATTCTAGGGAATAGTGTAAGGTGGGCTCTTATTTGTCTTTGTTAATGAAGCCCTAGGCCAGAAAGTTTGGAGCTAGTGCATTCAGGTAGTGCTTTGGGGATGGTATAGTTAAATTCATAGCAGAAATAGCTTACAAAAAAAGTCATTCTATTGTTCTTAGTGTTTTTTACAACCGGGATTTACCGTAACTTCTCTTGAAAATGTTTTAGTGAGAGGAATACAGCTTTAGCATTTGACAGGACAGTTCTGCTGTGGTGTGTTGTTCTGATATTTCACTTGTTCCTCACACTAGAATCTAGATAATTAATAGTATGTTTCAGAGTCCTTACGAAAAGAATATATTACTGATACTGTTCTCTCCCTTGATCTCTTTTGTTTAGCGAGATGCACTGGATGCAGATATCCACATTGACACAGAGGACCAAGGAATGTATAAACACATGTCTTCACATCACCTCTTCAAGTTACTGGATTGTTTGCAGGAGTCTCATTCTTTTTCAAAAGCCTTTAATTCAAATTATGAACAAAGAACTGTGTTGTGGAGAGCAGGTGAGGCTTTTGCATAGTTTGGCTTTAAAAAAAGGCACTGAACTCTGTTCAGGACTTCAACCATTGAAATGCAAAAGTATACTATTGTAACAATTTCTGTAGTTCATCTGACACTGTATACTTTTTCTGCTTTTTTCCTTGCCAATGAGTTGAGATATTTCTATTTTCTGTATGTATTTTTCATTGAAGTAGAGCAGCATAGTTAATACTGCTGCACTTAAATGCATTTATAAAAATAAGTTAGATGTCAGACAAAGTCGAGGAGAAAGTAATGCTGTCTGTGAAAGAAATCAGATACCTACTGTTGTTCGTTAATTAAGGTACTTGGCTGGCTCTTTGCTGGTATCTAAAACTGTGAATGTTTCCCCTGATTTCTAGGGTTCAAGGGTAAATCAAAACCTAATCTCTTAAAACAAGAGACCAGCAGCCTGGCTTGTTGCTTGAGAATACTCTTTCGAATGTATGTGGATGAAAACCGCCGAGACTCCTGGGATGCCATACAACAACGTCTGCTTAGGTAAGAGAATGAAGTTAGTTCAGGTGTGTTCTGTGTGCAGAAAAATATGCACAGTGTGTCCTTGGATATAAACGTTCCATTTTTTAAGTTGCTGAGCAAGACATGCAGAGCATACCAACATGTAATAGTCTGCTCTTTACTAAAAGCAAATTTAGCAATAAGAAAGCAATCCATTTGAAATAAATGAAATGCCTTCTTGCTTGACCCACTTTTCTTTACAAAAGTGGTGGTACAAAATATAATGCGATAAGAAATGTAAACAGAATGCAGTACAAGCTATTGTATACCTGGAACTTTAAAGAATTAAAAAAAAATAAAATTACTAAGTAATACAAAAAGCTGCTTAGCCCCTTTATCTGAGGAATGAGTTGTTGGTACAGGAAAGTGCAAGGTGCTAATCTCTGTCAAATGTGAAGAAATGTTAAACTCGCTATTGGTACTAATTTAGTGCATTTCAGTGGTGTTCCAATTTTTCAGTGTCTGTGGACACACTCATCTTTTCAGTGCATGAAAGGGGAGGTCCCATTCCCTCTTCAGAAAGTACTAAGAAAATCTGTTGTAATTTGTACAGATTGCCTACAAAATTCAGTTTATAGCAAGGACCAAGAATGTATGGACACATGAGTAGTCCTCCTTTGATCTAAGTGCTACAGATCTTTAATATAGCAGTGTAGATTTGAGGGGGGAGATAATTTTTTTACATGGTGCCATTGCCTAAATTGTCCCCATGTAAGGATCAGGAAATAATGTTTGCAGGTTGAAGCTGAAAACACTTTAATTACAGAAAATGCTTTAATTAGAATGCTCACAAGAAAAAGAGTCACTTTCTATTTTTTCACTCCAAAGTTGTTTGTTAGCAGCATAAGAACTACTTCAGACCAGTTATCTGTAACACCTGTAACAAAATATAGACAAATATGTGTAGTACAAAATTATTGCATGTGATTGAAAACTTTCCCATGGAAATGCATCTTGTGTAACCAGGATACACTGTGAGAGGACTAATAGGGCATGTAACAAAAACTTATTGTGGGTTTTCCTTTTGGTTTGTTTGAACTTGGCATCTTTTCAGTGTATGCAGTGAAGCTCTGGCATATTTTATTACCGTGAACTCAGAAAGCCACAGAGAAGCTTGGACCAATCTCCTGTTGCTGCTTTTAACAAAAACACTAAAAATCAGTGATGAAAAGGTAAGAGCAGGCTGGAAGCCACGTTTGTTTGCATAGAGGTGTTTTCATCTCTACTTTCATTGAATTCATTCTTTGTCATACGTACTGCAAGATGGCTAATTTGCTTATTCATATAGTGTGTACTCTCCTTGGAATGTAGGAATTGTTATGCTTCCTTTCTTTTGGCAAGTACTTCACATTGTAAAAATGGGGCTACATCCATGAAATCCAGTTTGTGGAAATATTACTGCAGATCTTTGATATAAAGCACTGTGAGTGTGCAGTAAAGGATGTGCTTATGGTATATTATAGCAGCACAGAATGGTAGAGATAAATTTCATCATTCTATAACTGTAACTTTAGTTCCTTGACAGTGATGGCAAAAAGAATAATCTTTGAAATCTTAGCCTTTCTGAGGAAAATGTGAATGTATATATTCCCTAGAATATCTCATGCAGAGAAACTTCTAGAGGTTGCTTAAGTGGGCGTTTCTTTGTTGTTCGATAATTTTAACAAGGGTGGATGTAATTTAAAAGTGTGGGTTTCTGTATTGGTATTTTTTTTTATGTTCCTTGTATTGCAAAATATGTAATTCCACATTACTTACTCTTTGTCTTTTATGTTTTATTGCAACTCATCAATGTTTGAAGAAAAGGGTGTTAGCAGTGATTTGGTTTCTCCACATAGCAGCAACTCAGAGATGTCCGTGTGGTTGTGGTGTGTTATGAAAATAGTTTTAACTATGTAGATAAAATGGCAAGCCTGCGATTCCTTGGTACCCAGGCTGGATGTGGCTCTGGGCAGCCTGGTCTGGTGGTTGGTGACCCTGCACATAGCAGGGGGGTTGAAACTAGATGATGATTGTGGTCCTTTTCAACCTAGGCCACTCCACGATTCAATACTGCAAGATTTTGCAGTAGAAGTGTCTCCTCAGTTTTCTCTGTAGAATCATAGAATGTCTTGGACTGGAATGGACCATAAAGATCACTAGTCCCAACACTCCTGTCATGGACTAGTTGCCACCAACAGCTCAGGCTGCCCAGGGCCTCATCCACCCTAGTCCTGAGCAGCTCCAGGGATGGGGCACCCATGGCTTCTCTGGCAGCAGTGCCAGTGCCTTGTTACCCTCTGAGTAAAAGAACTCCTTCCTAATATCTAATCTAAATCTTCCCTCTTTTAGTTTAAAACATTTTCCCTTGTCCTATTGCTGTGTGTCCATGTAGAAACTCAAAAACTAACACTCAGCATTATTAGGAAAGGAAAGGAGGATAAAACAAGCTTTGATGTTCTGTAACTGTAGGCATTCACTAAGGCTGTGTGGAAAACAGGCACTGGGCTTGATGGCTATTTGGCCATTCAATAGGGCCTTTGATTTGCAGTCTAACAAGTTGGTGTAGCCATGTATGTAGAAAAACTTTCCTATAGGAATAGAGAATAAATAAATAAATGAATAAATAAAGTTCAACACTTTCCTATAGGAATAGAGAATAATTTTCTTTTTTCATATCTTTTCTGATAGTTTAAGGCACATGCTTCAACATATTATCCATACTTGTGTGAAATCATGCAATTTGACCTGATTCCTGAGCTTCGAGCTGTGCTACGGAAGTTCTTCCTGCGTATAGGTGTTGTGTTCAAAATCTGCATAACAGAGGAGCAAATACGGACAACTGGGACACATTTACCCTCGTGGTAGCCCTAAGTAGAATTGGTTACTTCTCTTCTACATAAAGCTGTTCCAGAGATGGACTGAAGTGGATGGGGGAAGAAATGGGACCCTGGTATATCAAAAGAACAGCAAGTTACTCTTAACACAGTGGCATTTGAGGAGCAATGGGGAGGGAAGAGGGGAAGGGAAGGGGGGGAAAAATTCCTGGCCATCCTATGAGACTATCACCAATTTTTATTTAAATTATTGCTAACAGAATTAGTGCTGTAGATATAAAGTCTGTTTGTTTCCATGTTCATCATCCTTATGATCAAGCTTGTCTCTTCTAGTCTTTTATCAATTGTTCAGTTTTGCAGCCCAACCGAATCTTATAAATCAATTGGATTCCTCAATGGAAGTTATTCCCCATGGAAGTAATAAATATAGTTGTGTAGCCTTGTGATGTCAGCATGTGCTCATAATAAACTGTACTGCAGTGGCTGATGACCACCTCAGATCATTCTGGGTTTTTCTTTGTGTGCACATGGCTAGACCAGGCAGTGCATTATAGGTTTTGATGTAGAAAGCCTGTAGGATATTTGGGGAAGGGGTTTTCCTCTTGTTCAGCAGGTCATTTTAGAAGAACTTTTTTCATATCAGTGCTTCAACTTCCAAGATTCCTTGTTTTTATGGAAGGAGTACATAGTAGTATCAAATCCATTTAGCTCCTTAATCTTGAGTTCAAAGCATTAAAAAAAAAAAAGGTATTTTTTAAACTTCCCATTGACTTTGATACATGTCCAAATCATGGACACAGCATCTACATTAATATTAAAAGCAGGGTTCAAAAAAAAAAACAAAAAACACCCTCTTTATCCTTGAATACAATGTATTTAGTGTATTTAGTGGTAGTGGTCTGTTTAGGAAGTCTTATTCTTAATACCTATGAAATTTTCTCTTTTTTCTTTATGCATACTTTCAACTTCATTTTTTTTGTGCAAATAACTCATAGTTGAGAACAGATGTCGCTACTGAGAAATCTGAATTCCTTGATTGCTTTAGCAGAATTAAACTTAAGATCAGTTGTACACTATAACAATTACCAATACATTTATGTGGTTTCAAAAATATGTGAAGCAAAGGTGATTTAACACTAAAGCTTTGCTTGCTTACCCTGGAGATTTTCCCTTCTTTAGCATGCCTAAGTTTTTTCTGACACTTTCCATCAAATAATACCAGTTTATAACAGAAGTCCTGCAGGGTGGAGTTATGCCTTTGAAGTAACTTTAATTTCAAGTTTTAATTTCAAGACTTTTTTTTTCAAAAATGGAAAAGTACGGCAGGATGGGAGAAATTCCACTTCCTAAAACACGTAAACAAAAGTATTGGATTACCCACTGTGCTATCTGTATCAGCAAACCTCAGAAATAACAGTATTTAACAACAGCAACAATAGAACGGTACTGCGTTCAACTTGTTTTGCTTTTGAGTTTCCTAATAGGGCAGTCATAGTTGATGTAGTGTTGAGATATTCTACTCTCAGAGTTATTGGTGTGTGTGTATATATACATTTTTTTTCTTGTGAGCTATTTCCAAAGGGCTCATGTGGCATTCTTCAGTAAATCAGCTTGTTCTACAGAAGCATCGTTTGGCAATTGTTTTGCAGTCAGTAGTATTGGTAAGGCTTTCAAGTTTTTATTTTTAACCAAAGAAAAGCCACAGCCAGGCTAAGTTTTAAACACCCTATAGATTAAGTCTGTATGCTAATATTTAATATGAGGAAATATATGGTTATATTTTAGCATAAGGAAAAGACTGAAAAATAAGCGTTGCCAATATTGAACTTGCTGCATTTGAAATGTCACTTTGTTGCGTTTAGTATATTTGCTTGTTTCCTGGTAATGTCACTTAATTATGATAAAATGAAGTATTTATTTTAATTCTATTTAAATTTGTAATAAATTTGTAAGAATAAGCCATTATTTTTCCTTCCTGTCCTAGATAGTTCTTAAACGTATATTATTTTCAGGTTTTGAATGTGGCACTGCCTCATTGAATGTATACCTGTATCTCCTTTCAAAACACAAACTTTAAAGTTGCATGTTTCTTCTACAGTTTTGAAAGCCTTACATCTCAAGTCTTGGAAGAGGTCTCCTAATTGTCAGATCTTAAATTTGGAGTTGCATCGTGGGCTTTCTTTACTGTAATGTGCAACATTTGTACTATCTCTGCATATAGAATTAATCAGTCCCTTCTTTCAGCCTTAGTTCCGAGAGATTCTTCTTTTACTCAAGCTTTTATTGTATTTGTACCATTTATAAACTGCTGAAATTAGGCATGTGACATTAGAAACATTCTAGACTTACTGTAGTGCATGGAGGAGAAGGGGGACTGGAATGCAATGGGATTGTAACAGCCTTAATCCTGTCATGATTTTCTGGAATTGATTGTACGTCCTAAAGCAATAAGAGTAGTATGCAGAGCATATACCGGAATACCTGAAACAGCTGTATATCCACATCAGCTTTTTGTTCTCCTTCATCCACTCAGAAAGATCATAACCCACAGGCATCTTAATGGAGCATAAAATGCTGAGCCGAAATGCCTGCAGGCATTGCTGGTTCTGGCCTTGTCCTGCCTCTGCTGCTCTAAGACCTGGCCTGCCTGGGGTAGTTCTTCAGTGGAAGGATGAATGAAACAGGGTTCTCTGTCAGCATATCCCCGTAGAGATCTCTGCAATACACAGTAATAAAAACAAAACAAAACCAACACGGTTCTTAGACTGCTGAAGTACTGTTCTGTAACAAACTACAGACAGATTTTTACCTATAAGGGTATAAATACGGAGATTGCATGGTATTTATTGCTACTTATTGTAGAACCTTCTAGGCAGCAGGCGGGGGATGCTGTGAGGAGAGCCCTGCGCCCTGCCTGCCATCTCACACCGGGGTTCCTCCCCCTTTCCTGCCCCGCTCCCCAGCTGCCAGCAGAGCCGTGCAGAGCAGCTCTGCCTCAGAGGAGCCACAGCCCCGACTTCAGCTACTGGCAATTAAGTGTAGTATCTTTTAGCCTGAAGTAAAATTACGCTTCTCCTCTTGTCCAAAGCGCGGCTCTCTTTAATCTGTAAATCGTTTGTTCAGCACCTTTAATGTTGTTTGTGTAAGATGTATGTTTTCACGTATTTAAGATGCCTATGTTTCTGAGGACCTCCATATGAAGTGCATTTAATACCGATAAAGAGCAGTCCTTGCCCTCTGGATGTACACATTTTTGAGAGAATAGCAGAATTATAAAATATGAAAACCTATGTAAAGTTTTCTACATGAAAATACTATGTATAATACTGTTATAATACTCCATGCTTTAATGAAGTGGTAAATCAATAAAGTTTTAAGAAGTGGTGCTTGGCTTTAGCAGTGCTTATTGGAACGTGGGAGGGAGGAGAGAAACCCTCCTTCCTTTCCTCAGGGACGATTACAGATGCTAACGCTGGCCCCGTTCCCGCGCAGCACCTCGGGCGCCGCCTGACGGCCACTGCGGCGCGCGGCGCGCAGCGGGGCCTTGTGGGAAGAGCTCGGCCATTGGCCGCCGCCTCCACGTGAGACGGAAGGCACGGATTGGCTCGACGCGCGGCGCGTCGAGGTAGAGGGGCCCGCTGATTGGCTCGGCGGCCTGACGGTGTCACCGCCCTGCGTGATGCGGTCACCGTGCCGCCGCCGCGCCCTCTCACCGCGGTTTGAATGTGAAGCGCAGCCGGAGCTCTCCGAGCCGCCGCCGCCGCTTGGAGGAGGCCGACAGGTGAGGTTCAGCCGCGCCGGCCGGCGATGGCGGGGGTAGGGCGGCCCCGCAGTCCGGCCGTCCGCACGGTCCGCAGCCGCCGCCGCACCGATCCGCTGCGGGCTCGGGCGCTGGGCCCGCGGCGCAGCGAGAGGCGCAGCGCACCGTGCTGGGGCGCCTCGACCCACCTCCCGTGGGTCCGGATTGGCCGGCAGCCTTTCGAGGGCTCTTCTCATTGGCTCCCGAGGTTGCCAGTCGGAAGGCGGCGGGGGGGGAGGGCGGCAAGTCAGGCTGCGGCCGGCCGTTGCCGCGCGGGGATCCCGGGGCAGCTCCGAGCGCCTCCGCCTCACGCGGCGCGGGCGGCCCCGAGCCCACGGTGAAGCGCTGGGATGGACGCCGCCGGGAGCGGCTGGGCCGCGCGGGTCAGGCCCGACCCGAGGGGCTTTCCCGGAAGGCCCCTGAGCTGAGCGGCCGCCTCCTCGGGACAGCCGCGTGTCTCGGGCGGACCGCGGGCGGGCGGCTGCGGCGACGGGCTGTGGCGGTGCGGGACGAGGAGCCGCCTGCACGCCGGCACCATCCGTAGGTGCTGTCTGAGCAGCTGCCTCGGATTGCGGTGGTGGGAAATAGGAAAAAAGGAACAGCCGGCGGGGGAGAAGAGCGGGAGGGAGGGAGGCGGCAGCGGAGGAGTCGCTCGTCCTGAGCCGCTGGTGCTGTTCCTTTACGCTGTCCTCCATAAGGATGCTGCTGGCTGGGGGCGGCAGGTAGGAACTCCCTGAAGGGAGGCGGGCGGGGCAGGGAAGGCAGTGTTTCAGGTGAACTTTTTGGGGTTTTTTGCACCGTATCTTGGGATCTCAGTTGTTCATAAATCTTGATGTAAACCAAGGGTGTGTTGTTGCTTATAGATGTAGAAGAAAAACTCACTTGTTAAAACTCACAGCCTTTGCAGAAGTACTTAAATAGGAACCGTGCTTATTGCTCTGATGGTCAACATAGAATAAATGTAAATGGGGTGGGAAAATTTCAGCCTGTCTTAATAAGGAGAAACTCCAGGGAATAAAAACGCATTTGGCTTCTCATTATTTCTCTAGTAAAGGCTTGTGGTGCTGTTGGGAGAATAATGGGCAGCATGCAGTGCTTCGGGTGTCAGGTGATGGTTGGGCTTTGAGGCCCTATGGGTCCTCTCCAACCCAAATAATCCCGTGGTTCTGGTGGTACCCTAAGCCATGTGCCTGCTGAAGTGTGTCTTAGTACTGTTCTGGTGTTACTGTAATTTTAATTATTCCAATTAAAGCTGTAAAGTTAATGAACCACTGTGGTAAGTATGAGAGTATGTGTGGGAGGATAGCTAGAGAGGAGTAATCTGACTTATTTGCACAAAGTTATTCTCTAATAAGTACTGCAGGTGAAATGAATGGCTGCCCTGATCTGGGTTCATTTTGCAGGGTGGACAAACTCTGGCTTTCTGCAGTCTTTCATCACTTCATTAAAAATTATTTTCAGTTGAGAATTTTCTAGAGATAGCATTTATTTGTAAATGGGCCTTGGCTCTTCAGTGCACTTCAGGTCATGCTGTTGGCCATCATTTGGGCCAAACTATTCCATTTTTTCAAGAAGGAATAGATTTCTGTGGGTGGCAGTAGTTTGTAAAAGCAAGCTCATCTTGTCATGGAAGGGTGAGAGATCACCTTTTGGCTTCACCTGAGTAGTGGTTCATTGGATGTACGATCTGGTTTTAGGGGTTTGCTTTCAGTAACCAAGACACTAACAGTCATGAGGCATGTTTTGGTGTTTGTATTTAGCTAGCTGTTTTATTGGAGAGGTGTAGGAGTCCCTGCTTTAAGAAGTGTAGTCTAAAAAAAGCAGATGTGTGTCTTCTGTGGAATCACGTTTTGTGTATGTGGAGCTTATAGGGTAGATTTTCTGATCTGCATTAATAAAACTGCTTCTGTGTCGTAGTTTCTGCCAAAATGGAGCTGAGCGATGCCAATTTACAGACCTTAACTGAGTATCTAAAGAAAACATTGGATCCAGATCCTGCAATAAGGCGTCCTGGTAAGTGATTGTCAGCGTTTCCTCTCAGCTTTGCTGTCTGTCTGTAACAAACTTCAGCAGAAGTTTATGCAAAACTGCAGAAATTCTATACATCCTTCTAAAAAAAAAAAAAAACCAACAAAAAAACCCAAAATTTAATGATGAATAGATTTACGTATAAATGCATTTTCTATTTGCTTTACATAATTTTCTTCCTGAAGTTTGTACTGTTTTGTTTTTTTTTTTAAAAAAACAGGGATGTTGTTTACAACAAAGCTGGACTGGCTTCTCTTAGGTCATGGCTTTTAAAAATGTCAAGGAGGCAATATTTCCACAGCCTGCTTTGAATTGAGAGCTTTTGTTAACAGCAGAAGCATTAAAGAGCTTAGTAGTAAAGAAGTTACAGTACAGTTTGCTACTTGTCCAGTGCTTCTGTTCCTGTGGAACTCTGCAGAGGTGTTTGTGTTATTTTAAATGGACATTTGAGGAATAGTAGATCTCTAGTTAGGAAAATCAGCTCAGTTTTCTGTTAACCTTACTGTGTTCTCTTCTAGCGGAAAAGTTTCTTGAGACAGTTGAAGGAAGCCAAAATTATCCATTGCTACTCTTAACATTGCTGGAGAAATCACAGGAAAACGTCATCAAAGTCTGCGCGTCAGTAACGTTCAAGAATTACATCAAAAGGAACTGGAGAATTGTAGGTATTCCAGGCAGTATTTGTGCTAAGATTTAATCATCCTTTTAAGGTCCAATAATGTTTAATAACCTTGAGGAATACGTATGTGTCTGCACTTTGGAAGAGAAGATAGATGATACAGAAAATGAACACAGTGTAATTTACTGATAAGGGACTAAAGCCTCCTCTCTTTTACCCGTTCTATTGGAAAGAAATAAAGTGAGGTGATAAAATGGGGAGGAATAATTCTTCCTAATATTGTGTGAATCTTTCTGAAGAAGTACAGTATTCACTGCCCATTTAACTAAGTGTAATGTTATTCATGTTAAGATGATTGGAAAATGTCCATATGTGTGAGCTGACCTATTTGGCTGCTCTTAGTTGACACAGTACTGCAACCATTTCTAGCCAGGTCTGCAGCTGGAGGTGATGGTACTGATTTATTTTTCACGTAGATGCCTCTGGGACTTTAGAAACCTTGTAAGTTCAACACGTGGAACTATCTGTAGGCATAAAATAGAAATATTGTCTCTTAATCTCATTTTATCTTTTGTTTTGAAGGTATCAGGCATTTTTTATTCAGTGCTTTCAGTATGCATGAAATGTAACTTATGGTGTAAAGTATTACAATTAAGAGCTCAGCTCCTTTGTGATGAGAGATTTCAGTTGATCTTGTTTGTGCTTTGTCTCCTTGAAAGCACAATTTGCGTATCTGAAAGTCTCAAATGTATGATCTTGTTATACATCTCAGCTTGTGACTATTCAAGAGTTTGCATGTGATTTCCCCTGTACAAACATTGAAAAGCTACAGCAGTCCTTGCTCTGGTTATGTTTGGTAAAATCAGCACATTCACACTGGTGTGAAATTTCTAGGCCTTGGTGCTGATAATACTGCCTTTTCAGTCCTTTCTCAAAAATTGCATCTGTGTTGTGTGTTTTAAGTAGAACACTCACAGAGAAGTGTGTGTCTTCCTTAGTGTAGATGACTGAAGTGATTTGGGATGTGACTTTGTGTTGGAGTAGGTGAAGATGCTATGCAGTGAGTGCTTCCAGAGGGCAGTTAGGATTGTCCCAAGCTTGCTTGAAGCCACACACACTATTTTGTCCAAGATTGAAGCTTTTAGAAGCATTTTTATGAACATAACCTTAAGGCTAGCTTACGTAGATTACATGGTATAATTTAGCAATGTTGGATTAGGACTGATACAAAGCACTGAGGAAGGAAAATGGTTTTGTCTACTCAAGCAGTTTGATTCTTTTTAAGTTCATGGAAAGATGATCAAAAAGAACGTGAGGAGGAGGACAGTAATGCTGTCTGGCTCCAAGCATGTTGAGATCATCAAATTACTTTCTGAATTGCTGGATAACTTCTGTGTTTCTAAACATTGCTGCTGTCATCACTGATAATGTGACTATCCCTGCTGGCAGTGGTTGCTGACAAGCCTCGGTATTTTACTTCTTTGATACAGATACCATAATTTACTACCTACCACTCAGCACTGTTCACTTGGCAGGATCATTGGCTGACTCTGAAAGGCACTGTGAAGTTTGTGTGCATCACCTGCACTCACCTTCCTGTCTAGTTGCACAAAATAAACCTTTGAAATTGGCAGAAATGAGGACAGACGAGGTTTGGAGCTGAAATAGAGGACTGGTGGTTAAACTCGTGTTTGTAACTGGCATATGCACCCTCCCTTACTGCTATTGAATTGCTGTTTGAAAAGATCACTGTTAGAGAAGGAGAAAATTAGTTAAAAAATTAGCAGCAAGGTGTAATTTCTTTTAGCTTTTATCAGTTGCTGCTGTGAAAGAGTCATTGTAGGCTTTACCAGATCTTTTAATTTCCTCATTGATGCAATGGTTTCAGACATTTGTACATTTGTCTTCTGAAACAGTGGGATTCGCTCAGTGCCCAGTGTGTACTAATGTGGCAGTGACTTAATTGTTGGTTTTGTTGTAGGTGGAGGATGAACCAAACAAAATATTTGAATCGGACAGGATAGCCATTAAAGCCAACATAGTGCCCTTGATGCTTAGCAGCCCGGAACAAATTCAAAAGCAGGTAATGAGGCAATTTCTGGTTGTGTCCATGAGGTTTTTAGAATGATGTAATGTGTCTGGAGGCTCTGGTTACTGTCAGAGCTGAGTTAGCTTTCCAGTGATGTCACCCCTATGCAAATAATTTGGAGTAAATTGTTTAAGTTAATTCTGCCCACTTTAAAATTAAAAAAAAACGTATTGTCAAATTCCAGCATTAGACAGTTAAATACAGTGAGACTGCATGCACGCACTGGTTTTGAAGTGAGCTTTGTTGTGATGAAAAAGAGGAGATAGTTAACCCAATGATTTTTGAATCTGACGAGAACAGTAAGCATTCTTAGATAATTGTAACATTCGGCATGGCTGCTGTGTTTTTTGTAGTAAGTAGTGTGCTGCTGGGTCGTGCAATGGTTGCATTTCCTTTCCAGTTAAGTGATGCCATCAGTATAATTGGTCGGGAAGACTTTCCTCAGAAGTGGCCAGACTTGCTGACAGAAATGGTGAACCGCTTTCAAAGTGGAGACTTCCATGTCATTAATGGTGTCCTTCGCACTGCTCACTCCTTGTTTAAGAGGTATTGGAAAGCAGGGAATTGCTATGTGGGTTTTAGAAAAGAAAAAATTGTTTAAATCTGAATTTATATTCACGTATGTGGCTTTCACTTAGGCTTACTGGCTTCTTAGTAAGACTCTAAGTGGTTGTCAAATGTTGCATCTTTCATGGCCTTGATCTACGCTGTTTAGTCCTTATGTTTACTTGATAGGATTTGTTTCAAGGTTCATCATTAGAGATCAATTGTGTGCAAGTTAATTTGGGAATAAAAGTGAAGACTGTATTCCACTGTTGTGTATTTCTCCCACTCCTCAGGTACCGCCATGAATTTAAGTCAAATGAATTATGGACAGAGATCAAACTTGTCCTTGATGCCTTTGCATTGCCCTTGACAAATCTCTTTAAGGTACTGTTGAATGATTTCTGAAACAGCTG